TAAGTGATAAATGATATACAGGATCTGTGATATATTCAACTTGTGTAATTATCGTACATTCTATTGTATTAAAAGTCTATTTTAGTATTGTATTATGGCAGTACAGTATGTTACTTTTATAACCACACTGCAAGAACGTGTCCGCTGTTTTAAAAGCGTCGTTTCCAAAATAAAGTTATAATAATTATATAATAGTATGCAATAGAAACAGCAAATCATTTTAAAGATTATTAAACATCACCTTTATTTTGATTGTCATTCGTATTTATACAGGCTGTACAAAGATTTGAAATTAAGAACCATTTTCTAATATTGTTTAGCGAACAACCTTTAAAGATCGTCAGAAAAGGTCGGAAAAAGAATAAAAAAATTTTCTTATTTAGCTTAAATATTTTTCCGAACGAGTCTAGGCGAATGAGAAAATAAAAATAAAATTTTAATGATGAACGTAAACAGTGTAATAATGCAACTGATAAATGATTTAAATTTATATAATTAAGGAAGAAATATATATATGTATATATATATATATATTTAATATATAACTATTAAAAACATATTTAATATATAACTATTAAAAACATATTTAATATATCATAACTATTAAGCACAATTAAAGCCAAAGAAAAGATTACCATTAAATAAAATAGGTCGGTCGAAAACAATTCTAATTTTAATTTCAATTATTTACGCGAGCACGGAATTTACGCGAGCACGCACGCGCGCAACTATTCGATTATATATGAATTCTTATACGCTGTCCATACTAAATGATGTTAATTGTAAAATATAATTGTAAACCCAATTAAGTGTGTGAAATTAATATGCAATGTACGTAACACATATACTTTGCATGTGTTCATCGGGAAGATTATGAAACAAAATGGACGGTGTGTACCACGTGACTTTCGTAAACCAAGGAGCGGAATGTCGCAACTCTTTATATATATGGCTCTGGCCTCGAGTTACCATAGGCTACTGCACCAGGCGCCAAAAAAATAATATAGCTTGCGGTGTCTAGTGAACAAAGACTAGAAAACACCAGTTGACACCTGGTGGTGCTGTTTGTTTACCTAAATATTATATTATGAGTGTGTGGCCGGAGGCTTAAGGGTAGCGCATCATTCTGACGGCGAACGAGATTATTTTGATTGAGAACTTAGCATAAAATAATGTTGATTTTCAATTTTTAAAAATTGGTAGGAACAGCCTGGTAATTCGGTAGGCGGTAGAAAAGTGAGAAAATCGGTAGCCTACCGCTTAAATCGGTAGGGTTGGCAGGTATGCTGAACCCGGCGAGAAAGCATGAGTTTGGCTGTATCATATAGGCCTATCGATAATAATACTGTATTTATTAACCGGCGTGAAGTTGGTTTAACTTTCTATGTGGCACACTTCTGTTGTGAAGGTGCGTCTAAATATTACCTCCATACATGGTTGGACGAACTGCAATTAGCGGCCTAGCACTCGTCGCCGTGCAGCTGAGCTGACCTGAATCTTCCTTATAGCTGGGCCGAGGTGAAGCGTTATTAGCATGTTTAATTTATGCCGCGGTAATTAGCCAATCGGAAATCAAAGTTGTTAAATACGTCACCCACCACGAAATCCTCACTGTTTGCCCAGTCCCCTCACTGTTTGCCCAGTCCCTAATCCAAGAAAAAGTATACTATGAAACGCCAAGCAAATAGGTAATATGGAACGCCATTGGTGACAAAATCGATTTAAAAACAAAGATTAGGGACTGGAGCCCAGTCTACTGCTGCTGATGCAGCTGATGATGATGATAACGAGTACGATAATGATAAAGATATGTACAGTAAACAACTATCAGGCCCCTCTGAATACAAAATGGTGCATGTCTGAGCTTTCGTTTTTAATGGGAAAATATTAGACCATGGTACCTTGTCATAAATTTTAATTTTTTTTTTTTTTTTTTTTTTTTTTCTTTAAGTAGGCCTACAGTGTGTCTTTAAAGATGACAGCAGCTTTGAAATTAGGCTGGCGCCTATCCTAATTTTTATAACCGGATAATGATAAAAGTAACGGATAGTTTCTTATTTGTCTGTCCAAGAAAATAGTTAGAATTAGACATGACAAAAAAAAAAAAACAAAAACAAAAACCCGTTATATAAGATAGGTACTAAATATCACCAGAATACGGACGAGTGCATAATAATAGGCTATGTTACTATGTGTATCAGGATGCTTGTTACCCACATAAAAATACTACGGAATTATGCTGGAATATCATCAACCGATTTCTGATATCTCTCTGAATATACTGTACTAGGTATAGCCATCCAGCGTACTCCTATTAGGCAAAAAAGGCCACGCCCACCAACCCCACTTCCCAATCTGCAGAGTGGTCGCGCCGGCAAGGATAAGGAAGAACAATTCCCCACCCCACATGTCGGACAGGCCTGGATCCCCCGTCGTCCGACGCCACGACCAAATATTAATTTGCTTAAGCCAATACGTAATTTTGATTGCCAATCACTAAAATTACCAAAGCACCGTCAATATATATATAGCGCCACCGTGCGGACGGGGTAAAATTGCTCTCCGTTTACGAACAATGCATTTCTACCGGATGTTCCACTATATTGGGAAGCTGCTCTATCTTCTGCTATTTATTATCTTTGATTACATTTAAAAATAGAAGAGCGCTCTGAAAGGAACGCGAGTGTGTGAAAAGGGAAACAAAATCTCAAATGACACTTGTAGAGAGGGCACCCTGAATAAAATATAAATATTAATGCAATACCCCACACCACACACACACACACACACACACAAAGGAAAAGAAAAAAAACGACCAGGAGAACAAAATAATGCAATTATAATTATTATAGCATAATATTGAGGAGTGCTAATAATGATAATATGAAAGCCAAATTGGCCTAGGCCCTAGGCTTATAATAGTATTTTGATAAGAATTTGGGTAGATGAAGATTATTACAGATTCTAGTGCTATACATTATATGCAAATGAGTTTTTAAAGACGGGATTTGATAAGTTGGAAAAGGGCAGTTTATCGTTTAAAATACAGATACATTATTGTAATACATTTATATCAAAAACGGTAAAAATACATTTAAATCCGAAAAAGAGGATAAAAATGAGCATGAGGCGGGGCTCCAAAAAATATAAACCGACGACTTTCTTTGGAAGTTTGTGAATTTAAAATAGATTAGCATGGTAATTATTGCCCATACAATGTTACAATAACAAATAAATTGGAGGAAACGAGAAGTATAAATGTTACGAAGTATGAAGCTAGGTAAGAAATGCGATAAATGATAGTAATATTTCTTTTTAATTTTGAGTTTCACTCCCTTTATATGCATCTTAAAATTAAGTTCGTTAGTGGTCGATATTAATGCATACAAAATTAGTGTGTTCCACACGAGGCATAATAATATGGCCTCTAATTAATTACATATCATCGTTTCTTAGTCTGTGGTTGTTACCGAACAGCATGAAGTTGCATTTCTTAGTAGTAATCGGAAGTCTATTAATATTAAAGTAATCAATTACACTTTTCAGTTCATGAATAATAGAAAGTGAAAGAGAACCAAGGTTCGAATCAGAACAAAAAAATATTGTGGTATCATCGCCATAAAGGTAGAATTTAAATTTTTTGAAAAGCATTCAGAATGTCATTAATGTAAAGAAGAAATACAATAGAACGAAGAAGAAAACCCTGCGCATTGTAGCTAATCTTTAAATAGGCTGAGGGAGGTTCCACTGATATCATGACGTAATAGTATCGAAAGGCTTAGATCAATAAATACTCCACCAGAAAAAAGACTTTATTTTCGATTAAATCACAAATATTATTATTTAGTTTAATAAACTTATTAGCCGTATTAGTCAGTAGCATGACATACAAATGAATTATTTAACTATTTATTTCATATATAATGAATGATTCTATACAATAAGATACAACAAATATCTCAGAATTTTATTAATTTTATTTATTTATTTATTTATTTTTTGACAATGAAGTTGACTCTTACCTTTGTTGCAGATAAATTAAGATGTAGAATAGTTTTTTGACGGAAACCACATTGTTTACAATAAAGTATAATTATGTTTCTTGATAGAATCATTATGTACGATCATAAATATTTTTTCAAGAATCTTGGAAAATAAAGAATCGAAATGGGACGAGAGTTTGAATCAGATTTATCTTCTTGCTAAAAATTAGAGTTATTTTTGTAATCTTCTTGCTCTTTGGAAACACACCACAAGAAAGGCAATGATTAGAGAAGTGGGTGCATGGGTAAAGAATAGAAGAGGTAGAAAGTTTAACGACTTTGATGTCAATGGCATTAGCACCTGGAGGCCTTAATAATTTGAAAAGAAATAACAATATTTTGAATTTCTACCACTGCAGATAAAAGAAAAGAAAATTGGTTATTAGGGAGTCTTGAGATAGCACCTGAAGGTTTAATTATTAGAATATTGTGTTGTTTTGGCTAATTTAGACCCAATACTTGATGATCATTTAGTACATTTGCAATTCTAATGGAACCTTGTTGGTTTACCATTGGAATTTATTTCAATATTGAGGTTGTTGGTTTTACTTGGTTTAAAGAATAAACTTCTTATATTTAATTACACGCTTTAAGTAGTTCCTTTATGCAAGTTTTAAGGTTATAATTTCTTTTAGATTGCTTAATAAAAGGAAATGCATGGTATAACAAGAGGTAAATGTCTTAATAAATAAATAAATAAATCATATTAAAATAAATAAAGAACATTTAGGTTGACATTATCCCAAAAACAGTTGATTGGTAATTTCTAAACTTGTTGATGTTAGTTTCTTGTTTAAATATACGACTCTCCTTCGTAGGCCTACTTTGAGCTGTTTCGGTATCACATGTCAAAGCTCAATGGTCATGTTTTACTTTAATGCACGGAAAATACGTTCCCTACCAACTTCCAGTGGAATATATGATGTACGTGTGTCTATAGGCATAGACCTGGGCCTGAGCTTAGCCTAGTAACAGATTTGGCAATGTAGGTCTTACAACCCCTACTAGCTGGAGCCGGCCGCCGGAGCTGAAAGTGAGGTGTAAAGATAGTGCCTTAATCCTTATTATAAACTACCTGTACACGAGTGTAAAGTATAAATGAAATTTGAGTTCCAGTTAAAAAAAACAAACCTCTTATTTTTCTTACTTATGAGGATCTAGCTCCGTTCGACCGTTCGTAAGGTGGTGCAGAGTACAGTCAGCACGCGCCACACTAATTAAACCCTAGCAAAATAATAATACCAACACTTTAATGTACATTATTTTTGTACTTTTCCAGCACTGGTCCGTATTCTGTTCAAGAAGTTACCAATACCTTACACCGTAATACTTCTGATTCTTGGAACGTGCCTTGGTATTTTGTCGAATCGTTTTGAAAATGTTTCACTATACACCGGAATGGCTCATATGGATCCGCATCTTATCATGCATGTTTTCCTACCTGTCCTAATTTTTGAATCAGCTTTCGCAATGGATGTACATATATTCATGAAATCATTCATACAGGTATGTATATTAAAGCATTCAGTTGTCTACAATCTACATGTTCAATTACCACAATAATAATTTGTATGTTTATTTATCACACGTTGTTGTTATCAGAGTCAGCGACAGCAGCCTCTAGGGGCTTCCTATATTTTGAAGAGTGTTATGCTCTTACAAAATAAAATGTTATGCCAATTACTACATCCGATAATTATGGCTTTATCGTAAAATAAATAAAATAGTTCTTTTAAAGGATTTATAAAAATAAAAAGGTAACGTGTATACATTAACAAAAAAATCAGTAAAAATTTGTAAAATATTAAGGAACCCCTTCTCGGATTTAGAGGGTATTCCTAATACCACGTGACTTTATTCATTTTCATATTCATGTCTTCTTAAATTGTTTATTGTATGTCTTATGTATTGTATTGCAATAAATAAAATTAAATACAGTTCCAACAAGAAACTTTGATTTGGGAAACTGAGTTACACAACTGAGTTGAAGAAGTGTGCGCTCAGTGCCTGGCTCAGTGTCAGACGCTCTGACTCAAACAATTCGACCTCCGCACGACATCCTCTTCTGTCTGATACTCCCCCTCCCTCTAGGCCTGCTCTCCGGTATATGATTTGCTATCAAAACTGCTGATATAATTCGCATAATTTAAAAACAATATGCAGATATATTGCTTCAATATTGACAATAATTGCGGCTTCGTTACGACGAGGAACTCGGGCGAGTGATGATGCCATATCAACAAAAATTGAGGGCGGTATTTGAACCCGATTTCGTTGCCGGTGTAAAATTGAAGCAACTCGGGATTAACCCAGACTTTTTTGGTTCGATGTAAATGGGAAATGCACCGGGAAAACCCCGGAATTCACACGGGTTTATTCTGCCCTTGCCATTGTAGAATGGGTATGAGACAAGCATTGTACCCTTTTATAATGGTTAGAGAATGGTGCTGCTTTTAGTCTTGGAAAAAATAATAAAAACAAAAAAAAACAAAGTCTTTCAACTTCACGTTTTGTCAGCGATTTCCCACGGCTGTCGTTTAATCAACGCTTGAGTCTTTACCAAAAGCACCGGGAAAGACTTCCTTTATGCATGTTATTGAACTACAGAATAGGATTTTATTGTCTGGAATTTGTGATGATTGTGGTAAATTATGGATGAACATCGTAGCATACTGACACTGCGAACAAGCCATTTTCGGTAACCTACTAGACAGTAGGTTAAGGTCTATTCCTAAGTGTCATTTGTGATGCAAATTCCCAGCACCAAAAATGTAATTGAAATACAGTAGTTATGCTACAGACTGGATGGTAGATTCGTGGGAAATTATGGATGAACATTCATGTAGCATAGGCCTATTAAGACTAAATCTAGTCTAAACTTAATGCGAAACAAAACAACAGTTGTATGATCTTCTTCAGTACAGAGCCTCTTAGTTATGTGATATTGATCAAAGTCAAAATCACAGCTCGGGTTAACATCTGTCTCTTATACACATCTAGATGTGTATAAGAGACAGGTTGAATGGTAATTTCTAAACTTGTTGATGTTAGTTTCTTGTTTAAATAAACGACTCTCCTTCGTAGGCCTACTTTGAACTGTTTCGGTATCACATGTCAAAGCTCAATGGTCATGTTTTACTTTAATGCACGAAAAATACGTTCCCTACCAACTTCCAGTGGAATATATAATGTACGTGTGTCTATAGGCATAGACCTGGGCCTGAGCTTAGCCTAGTAACAGATTTGGCAATGTAGGTCTTACAACCCCTACTAGCTGGAGCCGGCCGCCGGAGCTGAAGGTGAGGTGTAAAGCTAGTGCCTTAATCCTTATTATAAACTACCTTTACACGAGTGTAAAGTATGAATGAAATTTGAGTTACAGTTAAAAAAAACAAACCTCTTATTTTTCTTACTTATGAGGATCTAGCTCCGTTTGACCGTTCGTAAGGTGATGCAGAGTACAGTCAGCACGTGCCACACTAATTACACCCTAGCAAAATAATAATACCAACACTTTAATGTACATTATTTTTGTACTTTTCCAGCACTGGTCCGTATTCTGTTCAAGAAGTTACCAATACCTTACACCGTAATACTTCTGATTCTTGGAACGTGCCTTGGTATTTTGTCGAATCGTTTTGAAAATGTTTCACTATACACCGGAATGGCTCATATGGATCCGCATCTTATCATGCATGTTTTCCTACCTGTCCTAATTTTTGAATCAGCTTTCGCAATGGATGTACATATATTCATGAAATCATTCATACAGGTATGTATATTAAAGCATTCAGTTGTCTACAATCTACATGTTCAATTACCACAATAATAATTTGTATGTTTATTTATCACACGTTGTTGTTATCAGAGTCAGCGACAGCAGCCTCTAGGGGCTTCCTATATTTTGAAGAGTGTTATGCTCTTAGAAAATAAAATGTTATGCCAATTACTACATCCGATAAGTATGGCTTTATCGTAAAATAAATAAAATAGTTCTTTTAAAGGATTTATAAAAATAAAAAGGTAACGTGTATACATTAACAAAAAAATCAGTAAAAATTTGTAAAATATTAAGGAACCCCTTCTCGGATTTAGAGGGTATTCCTAATACCACGTGACTTTATTCATTTTCATATTCATGTCTTCTTAAATTGTTTATTGTATGTCTTATGTATTGTATTGCAATAAATAAAATTAAATACAGTTCCAACAAGAAACTTTGATTTGGGAAACTGAGTTACACAACTGAGTTGAAGAAGTGTGCGCTCAGTGCCTGGCTCAGTGTCAGACGCTCTGACTCAAACAATTCGACCTCCGCACGACATCCTCTTCTGTCTGATACTCCCCCTCCCTCTAGGCCTGCTCTCCGGTATATGATTTGCTATCAAAACTGCTGATATAATTCGCATAATTTAAAAACAATATACAGATATATTGCTTCAATATTGACAATAATTGCGGCTTCGTTACGACGAGGAACTCGGGCGAGTGATGATCACCATATCAACAAAAATTGAGGGCGGTATTTGAACCCGATTTCGTTGCCGGTGTAAAATTGAAGCAACTCGGGATTAACCCAGACTTTTTTTTTGTTCGATGTAAATGGGAAATGCACCCGAGATCACTCGGAATTCACACGGGATTATTCTGCCCTTGCCATTGTAGAATGGGTATGAGACAAGCATCGTATCCCTTTATAATGGTTAGAGAATGGTGCTGGTTTTAGTGGAAAAAAAAAATAAAAACAAAAAACAAAGTCTTTCAACTTCACGTTTTGTCAGCGATTTCCTACGGCTGTCGTTTAATCAACGCTTGTGTCTTTACCAAAAGCACCGAGAAAGACTAATTCCTTTATGTATGTCATTGAACTACAGAATAGGATTTTATTGTCTGGACTTGTCTGGAATTTGTGATGATTGTGGTAAATTATGGATGAACATCGTAGCATACTGACACTGCGAACAAGCCATTTTCGGTAACCTACTAGACAGATAGGTTAAGGTCTATTCCTAAGTGTCATTTGTGATGCAAATTCCCAGCACCAAAAATGTAATTGAAATACAGTAGTAATGCTACAAACTGGATGGTAGATTCGTGGGAAATTATGGATGAACATTCATGTAGCATAGGCCTATTAAGACTAAATCTAGTCTAAACTTAATGCGAAACAAAACACACTTGTATGATCTTCTTCAGTACAGAGCCTCTTTGTTATGTGGTATTGATCAAAGTCAAAATCACAGCTCGGGTTAACATCTGCCTGTCTTACATTAACTCCTATCTAAAATTAACTACCAACGTACAGTATTCACTGTTTTTTTAATTTTTATATTATTTTTTATTTTTTTATAAACTTAATTTCACCCTCGTTTAGGGCTACACGATGAAGGATACCTGTTTCGCAGGATCCTAAAAAATACCCAGTAATGCTGCCGCAAAAAGTTACCTCGCAATATTTCTGCAAATTTGCAATCAAGCATTAAATAAAATGACGAAGATAAATACCAAGAATTATCCGAGCTTATACTATAAAATCAAAACAGGACAGAAAAAATAACAGGGCATGTAATATCTAAAAGTGTTTATGCCACAAGACGGGAATTTCTTGATGATGATAATGATTGTGATGATTTGATTTTCTAACAGGTGTGTATTTTGGCAGTGCTTGGATTAATGGTAGCGACAGTATTAACATCTCTTATAGCTAAATTTACGTTCTCCTATAATTGGGGCTGGAACGTTTCCATGATGTTTGGCGCTATCGTGAGCGCGACAGACCCAGTTGCTGTAGTTGCGCTTCTCAAAGACCTCGGTAAGTGAAGCTTAAAACTATCACTATTTATTTAAAAATAATCGATATGACAATCAAATAACCAATCTATGATAACCAGTAACTTAAGCCTTTACATTGCAAGTCATTCTTAACTCAGCAAATTATGAAAACATACTCAGGACTACTAAACATACTTAACATCTTTTATTCAAAAAAATATGTTTCTACGGAATACAATTTTAATGTACAATTTCTGTTTAAGTCCTGTGTGTATAGTTACCAAAACAAAATTAATAAAGAGCATATCACTTACTTCTATCTTTAAAATATTTAAATTGGTCTCGGTTAACTTACAATTTCTAAAACTTAAATCGTTTTTAATTGAAGACAAACCGGGTTGGTTTGATGTTTTCCATTACGCCCTGTAATACTATTACAAAAATACAACTGCATGAACGAATGATGAAAAAGCTGGCGTGTTTTCATTCATCCTTACAACATGCTAAAGCATTAACCATCTATAACGACAGAATCTTTATGAAAGTGGGCTCGTTTTTTCAGACTGTATACAGACTTTCGTTCATAATAATTATTGGTCACTTTATATTCATTATACTCCTTACGTGTTTTCTATGACAAGCTTAATTTACACACATGGTTTACTTTGGTGTTGACCAACTGCTGCAATAATACAGTAACATATATACCAATAAAGCATTAAAGCATAACTTTACAATCAAGTGAAATCTTACTCTTGTTCCACATCCTCTTATCAAATACTGCATTCACAAGCACAATCCCATGATTAATATCATGTACCGTACATCTAATAATGACCCTAAAATCGTATGTGGTCTCCATTCTTCCTATTTAGGTTTATTTTTATCAAGAAAGATTTGTGTCAACTCGGTATCATTCACAGATTCCATTTTTTGAGCACATATGACAGCAACAGGCAAAAGATTATTATGTTCATTTACAGATTCAGATATGAAATATTTATTTTTATTGTAAATTCATAATTTAGCTACTGAAAATTAAGCAATTCACTATCTTTAATTTAATTTTAGTAATTTTATAGATTTTAACACATACAGTATATTGTTAAATCAATTTATCTTCAAAGTTATACAATAATTACTTAATCTTATGAATATATACACAAACCCGATGATATGCATGTTTTCACCGTAGGCGCATCGAAACAGCTTGGAACAATTATTGAGGGCGAGTCACTTTTGAATGACGGTTGCTCTATAGTTGTATTTACAATTTTTAAAGAAATGGCCATACCGGGACAATCAAAGACAGGTAAGATAATTATCAATCATCATAATATATAAATCACAAACTAAAGCACTACAGTAACGTTTCGTTAGTATAATTACATTGTGTAAGCCCCTTCCACACAGACAAACTAAACGTCTATATTAGTGAGTCAGCAGTCTGTGTGTCTGAATGGGTCAAAACAAACTGAACCACCAGAACCAATAGGATCAGGCTTACAACTGGGCCCAGTTGGTTACCATCGGTGTGAAAGTCCAAGTAAATTAACCGATGTTATCAAAGAACCTAAATAGCAGAAGAATGAGCTGTTCCGCGTATTTGCATTAAAATCGATGGAACATCCGCCCTCCTGCAGATAAAGTAAAACTTGAACATTTTACTAAGTGGAGAATCTACAGGAAACAAACAAACCAGAACAGCGCCTTTTTATTACTAAATAGCGCCGCGCCGCGCGGATGCAGTAAAATTTTTCTCCGTGTACCCACAATGCATTTCGACCGGATGTTCCACTATTTTGGGAAGCTGCTCTATCTTCTGCTATTTATTATCTTTGATGTTATTCAGTGATGCATAACACAATCTGAGGAATACCCTGAGTAATGTATTGCAATAGATAGCCATAGCATTCGCATTGTTTTATTGCGCTATAGAAATTTTCAATTATCATCATGATCATCATCAACAGCATCATCATCATCATCATCATCATCATCGTCGTCGTCGTGGACGTCGTCGTCATTATCACCTAGGTCTACCTTGTTCCCTAACTCGTCCTCAGTGACGAGTTCAAATCTAGTTATCTTTGATGTTATTCAGTGATGCATAACACAATCTGAGGAATACCCTGAGTAATGTATTGCAATAGATAGCCATAGCATTCGCATTGTTTTATTGCGCTATAGAAATTTTCAATTATCATCATGATCATCATCAACAGCATCATCATCATCATCATCATCATCATCGTCGTCGTCGTGGACGTCGTCGTCATTATCACCTAGGTCTACCTTGTTCAGAACCAGCACTTCTTTGTTAATAATTGATATGTGTTCAGATTACAATTTAAGTGAATTTTCCCGAGTCGTGTCGAAAAATTCATTCTCCTTTTGGTACATTCTTTTCTCTCCTGTCGTAATGTTTTTGTGAGTGTTATATTGTTCTTACTTATGAGTAGCACTTACAAATTGTTGTTCTTTTATCTTCTGCCAATGTTTCTAACAGTTTATAATTATTGTTCCTACTCGATTTGTTCAATTCACGAATCATTTTTAATTTCAGCAACTGAAATAATAGTATATTTCATCCGGGTTGCGTTAGGAGGACCAGCCTTCGGATTTCTGATGGCTAAATTCACGACATTCTGGCTGTCCCGTATTTTCAATGATGCACTTGCAGAAATTACTATTACTTTGGCATCAACTTATCTAACTTTCTACATTGGGGAATCGATTATCAAAGTGTCAGGAGTTCTTGCCGTTGTTGTTCTTGGATTGGTTGTAAACGCCGAAAGAACATCAATAAGTCCAGAAGTTGAGGTATTTTTACATAGGTAAGCAACAAGTTGCTCGACATAACAGAAATTATTGAATAGTGAGACAAAAATATACCAAAACAAGATATATATTGTAGATACTTCCAAATATTTCCTGTTTTCTATATAATCATCTATTTAATGAACCAATCAATATTTAGTAGTTTAAAAACTAGTGGTTGTATTAAACTTGTTATAAGCATTGAGCTTTTGCTTTGTAGATTCTGGGAAGTACTGGCGTACGTTGCAAACACGCTCATTTTCTTTCTGGTTGGAGTTGTCATCACGGAAAGAGCTATGGAAAACGTTGATCCAATTGATTGGTTTTACATGTTCACTATTTACGTAGGAATCAATATCATCAGGTAGCTATAATACTATCACAATTTTTGTGACAATTAACTGTGTTTTTGCTATATAGGCGACGATTGATGTCATGTGAAAACCATGGTATGATGATGGCATAAAAACTATTATAAGTCATTGGTGACGTCATCACTTTTATTTGCACTGAATTTTCCTATTCCCGACTGATCACTATATAGTGCCTCCGATTTGTTTGCGTCTCGTGTGCAATAATAACAGCTAAAGCTGGGGTGATATTACTACACTTCGTGATGGAATATTTCGTTGCTTGGCCAAGCTATCAGTGGTGGCGCCAGGATTTGCCCGACAGGGGGTTAAAGTTACCAGACAGGATTTTTTCCCCATAAAAAAGTGGGCGTGGTCAGGCGTCGCTCACTATTCCTCGAAAGTTAATCCATGGGGCGAAGGCTCCCAAAATATTAGGGGTTTAAAGGCTTATTTAATCGATTTTGGGTCTACACTAATATGTTGAAAATACATATACATTTTTTTTTCTCCCTGACGAATTGTGTTTCTCCCCGACGGCCGGGGGAGGGGGAAGCCGGGGGAGGGGAAGCCCTTCCCCCTCCCCACCCCACGCGCTGGCGCCACCCCTGTACAGTAGGCCTATAAATGCATACAGCGAACTTAACAAATCAAGGACTTATAGCTGTTACCAGGATAGGAAGCTGGCTGCTTTAAGTCGTCTAATAACATGAACGAGCCCAATGTGTGGTATTGTTATGCTAATGAGCCAAATAAGCACAATCTGCACATGCTTAGACACATTTTGAGATCAAACCACCTCACTGGGCGAATAGAAGTTAGGACTGACTTAGCCCCTCTCCCACTAGCGTTTTTTTCAGCATACGAGTTACAAGAGAATGCCGAGTTGCTAACTCGGCAAACTCGGCAAAAACTCGTAGGACGATTCGGAAAGCTCGGAGAGGACTCTTACCTACTCGTAGCTAGCTGTAACCAGGATAGGAAGCTGGCTGCTTTAAGTCAGTCGTCTAATAACATGAACGAGCCCAATGTGTGGTATTGTTTTGCTAATGAGCCAAATAAGCACAATCTGCACATGCTTAGACACATTTTGAGATCAAACCACCTCACTGGGCGAATAGAAGTTAGGACTGACTTAGCCCCTCTCCCACTAGCGTTTTTTTCAGCATACGAGTTACAAGAGAATGCCGAGTTGCTAACTCGGCAAACTCGGCAAAAACTCGTAGGACGATTCGGAAAGCTCGGAGAGGACTCTTACCTACTCGTAGCAGCTCTGAACTCGTGGCGCTAACTTTGAACATGTTCAAAATTATCGCCACGAGTAGATAACTCGTAGTAAACTCGAAGAACTCGTAGGTAGCTCGTAGAGTATTCGGGGTAGGGCCTACTCTTACCTAACTCGTACACTACTCTGGATACTCGTCGGCGGTTTTGTCATCTACGAGTTTGATGCGAGCACCCAAAAACGAGTACGAGTAAGTACGAGCGCACCGAGTTGGCTCGTACCTAACTCGTATCTAATTCGGTACAAACTTTTTACGCTCGTAATAATCTCGTAGTTAACTCGGTGCTCTGCTCGGCATAATTCGTACATAACTCGTAACCAACTCCATAATGTCGTACCTCACTCGTAGCTATCACGTAATAAGCTCGTATAGGTCCTTTCCAAAGATCATGAGTTTTAACTCGTAGAAATCGTACGACTCTTAGGTGAAATAAACCTAGGTGGGAGAGGGGCTTAGTCACCGTAAAAGGGAAACAGAACTTTCCTTAGCCAGACTGCGTATCGGCTAGGCGTATAGCTAGGCCTAGACAAAAATTACGGTACAGTAAAACAATGCAAAATATGGGTACTAATTTCACTTGGCATGCAAATCAATCATACTTACATACTTAAAAACAAAATAATCTACCAATAAAATCACCTGCTAGTTAAGATATGGCAAGCATTTTCACAATTTTGATTTTAAATTGTGAAAATGTCATTCTGTTTTGAAGTATTACAATGAACATAGCGTAGCCTAGGCCATGGCTAACCACTTACAAAAATGCAGAACCCAATACAAATTAGAATGAAGTTATCAACTAACTAGTGCATTAAAATTATTCATTACTTACTACTTACCTATATAAAATTTAAATGTATTGCTCACAAACGCCAATATTTTTTTTTATTTTAATTAAAAATTCAACTCAGCAACCGCCACAGATATTTCAACGCATTCTAAGCATGTTCAGATTGTGCTTATCTGGCTCATTAGCATAACAATACCAAGTTAGACGTCTTAGACCAGCCAGCTTCCTATCCTGGTAACAGTTAAAAGTCTACGGCGTTTGTTAACAGGAATGAAGTTAGAGCGTCCTAGATGGCCTACAAAGGCATAATGGTTATGTACGAAAGGCTATTCGTGCCACTTAAGTATAAAAAATCATCAAAATGTAATCCGAAATTTCGGATTAGTAATCCGAAGTAACTCGTTATTTCGGATTACTAATCCGAAATTTCGAATTACTAATTCGTTATTTCGAATTAGTAATCCGTTATTTCGGATTACTAATCCGAAATTTCCAATTAAGTAATTCGTTATTTCGAATTAGTAATTCGTTTTTTCGGATTACTAATCCGAAATAACGAATTAATAATTCGAAATTTCGGATTAGTAATTCGTTATTTCGGATTACTAATCCGAAATTTCGAATTACTAATTCGTTATTTCGAGTTAGTAATTCGTTATTTCGGATTACTAATTCGTTATTTCGAGTTAGTAATTCGTTATTTCGAATTACTAACTCGAAATAACGAATTACGAATTCGAAATTTCGGATTAGTATCCGAAATAACGAATTACTAACTCGAAATAACGAATTACTAATTCGAAATTTCGGATTAGTAATCCGAAATAACGAATTACTAACTCGAAATAACGAATTACTCAGGAGCGAGGACGTAGGCCTAGGCCTAGAGAGAGAGTTTGGACGCGGTAACGTCTTGCCCTAGTTTTGACACGTTTCACTCGGTTTCAGTAATTTTGAAAGGAACACATGAATCATGCTGTCATAATAGCGTTGTTACAAATAAAAAGAACTAACATAATTGTCCATTTAATATTGGCATATATTTAATAATCTATTCATTATTTACTACAGTGAGAGAATTACTAACTCGAAATAACGAATTACTCAGGAGCGAGGACGTAGGCCTAGGCCTAGAGAGAGAGTTTGGACGCGGTAACGTCTTGCCCTAGTTTTGACACGTTTCAATCGGTTTCAGTAATTTTGAAAGGAACACATGAATCATGCTGTCATAATAGCGTTGTTACAAATAAAAAGAACTAACATAATTGTCCATTTAATATTGGCATGTATTTAATAATCTATTCATTATTTACTACAATGAGAAAAGAAAGAAAAACAGTATTTACACAGGATCTCAATAAATAGCTATTAGTATGGTGATTATGTCTTGCTGAGCTATACTGGAAAAAAGTCTAGTTTATCATAAATTATAGTGTACCGTATAATGTCTGTTTTTGCATTATTAATAAAAAATATTTTCAATAAAATCGAGACAGCTGAAAATAATTATAGGCCTATGTTTTTCTTTAATTTTTTTTATGTATAAACTTAAATCTTTTTTGTTGCAGTAATTTTTGTTGTACCTGTTACTGTACACACTGTTTATTGAGAAAAAAAAAACAGCTTCATTCTCAAAGTAATTCAGTTATTGCAATTCGTAAAACATTATACAAATACAGACTCTCTTCAGGATTATTTGGTTAAGTAATTCGTTATTTCGAGTTAGTAATTCGTTATTTTGTATTACTAATTCGTTATTTCGAGTTAGTAATTCGTTATTTCGAATTAAGTAATTCGTTATTTCGAATTAGTAATTCGTTATTTCAAGTCGAAATAACGAATTACTAATTCGTTATTTCGGATTATTAACTCGAAATAACGAATTACTAATTCGAAATTTCGTATTAGTAATCCGAAATAACGGATTAGTAATCCGAAATAACGAATTACTAATTCGAAATTTCGGATTAGTAATCCGAAATAACGAATTACTAATTCGAAATAACGAATTAGTTAATTCGAAATTTCGGATTTAGTAATCCGAAATAACGGATTACTAATTCGAAATAACGAATTACTAATTCGAAATAACGGATTACTAATCCGAAATAACGAGTTACTAATTCGAAATAACGGATTAGTAATCCGTTATTTCGGATTACTAATCCGAAATTTCGGATTACATTTTGATGATTTTATATACTTAAGTGGCACGAATAGGCTTTCGTAGTTATGAGATAACAAGGTGATTGACTTATAAGAACTGAAAAAAAGGCTACGCTGACATAATTTAAAAAAATATTAACAATAGATTTTAATTTATTAAACAAAAAAATGTCTACCAGTACGTTAAGTCTATACTTAATAACCCCTATTAAATCACAATCAATTAATCTCCAAGTATTCGATTAAATTCAATGTAACGTTTATTCCTGTCTCTTATACACATCTAGATGTGTATAAGAGACAGCTCCTCGTGAAGTTCCTTACGTTGTTTCTCGAAATGCTCGACTCCTTTTCGGATTGAAGGTCTTCGAATTTGTCTGTTTGTGGCGCAGGTTTCCCAAGACACTGCTGTTGGTGCGTCCATCCGACCATTTGACGTAGGCATCGTTAATGATATGTTTATAGACTCAGATGCTATAGGTTACCCATGTTTCAGATCCATAGAGCAAAGTTGGAATTACGACAGCCTTGTATACCTTTATCTTTGTTTTGATGAGTACATTATTGTTGTTAAAGACCCTGGCTCTTAGACGCCCAAAAGGCGCAACTGGCTGCACCAGATCTCTGTTGTATTTCAATATGGATGTTAGCCTTTGATGAGAGACAACTACCTCGTTGCTCCACGTTGCTCAGGGGCTGTCTATCAACTTTAATGTTAGCTGGTTGATAATGGTCAATCCAGGCTTTGGTTGGTAGAGAATTTTTGTTTTCTTGATGTTCAGTTCAGACCCATTGCCGAGTAGGCAAAGCTGAATGCATTCATGGTTAGTTGGAGATCATTTCCACTATTTGCAATTATGGTATTACCATCAAATCCAAATGATGGTTAAAGAGTTTACCATCCATACGAAATCGTATGTCTATCCCAGTTGGTAATCTTTGTTTCACAATATGTAGCAATATGTAGTACTGCAGATAAAAATATCGAGAATAGAGTAGGGGCTATGAAACAACCTTGTTTTACTTCTCACTTCGAAATTATCTTATGACACACCATCGACCAGGATGCTTTCATATCGTCAGAAGTTTAATCATCATGATAAACTTTTCTGGGCAATAATAAGAACAATAGAAGAAAAAAATAAACAGGGACAGAACAGGACGAAACATGAAATCAACAGAAAACCAGACCGACTAACTATTCGACGTCGCAAAGATAATGGGAGAGATAAGAAATTTTATACCTTTGAAGTATTTTGTAAGCTGTTTAGAAAAAACCTTTATTGTAATTGGAAAGTTTGGGACCTGAAAATCTAATATTATGCTGAAATTAATTGGTTTTATTGGTTGGTATATAGACTTTTCCGTGTGCTGTCATTGTGAAGGGAGAAATTGGGTTGTGGTTTGAAGCATATTAAATAAACATTGTTGTAGGGAGTTGATATCAATAAATTTGAGAAGGTTGAGATTGGAGAAATAACCAGAAGAGTTTTATAGTGGAGTAGCACCAGACATGATCCTGATAGCCTTCCTTCTTTGAATAATTTGTTTAAGTTGGAAGGGTGGGTACCCCAGACAATGAGTAGTAGGTAGTTTTCGCCGCACAACGTTAGCCTTAACTTTAACGTTAGTACCCACCGTGCAACGCGATACTCCGCCCCTTTTGTAAACAAATCCAAATACGCATGCGTAGACCCGTAACTAACAAATTTCGAGCACGTAAAATCCTAAAATAAACGTACTCCGCAACGCAAGATAATAAATTATGACATTATCCGTTAAGGTTAACGTGCGCGTACTACTTGGTACGGTATTACTAAATCAATATACAGTAATACGCAAAGGACGAACAGTGATAACTGAGCCAGCAGCACTTTGATGGATTTATGATATAGGGCCTATACCAACCACTCTACATCCAGCAGTTTGATCATAAAATGCCATACAAAAGGTGAAAATAATTGACAGTAATAGTCAAATAATTCCGTACACTATAGGAAATAGAAGCCTTAGGAACCATTGATTTCTTCAAAATCTTTTTCAGAGAATAATGTTTCATTTGGCTTTTATATCCATAGTGTACTCAAAACCTAACTATAATTGCTTAGTAGACTATATTAACATAGCAATTTTGATAAAGCGTAAGGGAAAAAACTGTTTCTTTAATTAATTTAACAAGAGATAAATAAAGATTAACTTTATATAATTAACATATTATTATTATTATTATTATTATTATTATTATTATTATTATTAATATTATTGCTATTCTTGTATATGATTAACACAGTTACGAGTTATTTAACTAATTACCGTAGTGTATCTGATTTGCCTTTCCTTTGATATTTGATGAATGGGCTGAAGATGGTAAATATAGTATTCTGTTGAAAAAACTTGAACATTTACAATACAAAAACCTTATTAAGGTTTTTAATAATGAATTTAAATTCACAACACATAGTTTATATTCTGTTGCTATTATTATAATAATGATCTATTAAATTGGTTGGGCTGTATTATATTATATAGAGCAATCGTGATTGCAATATTCAGTCCTATATTAGCAAGAATTGGCTATGGATTGTCTTGGCGTAACGCAGTAGTAATGGCTTGGGGAGGATTGCGAGGAGCAGTTGGTCTGGCTTTAGCCCTGCTGGTTGAACAGACTGATGAATTTTTAGAATACGAAGAGCTAAAAAATGTGGGAAGTAAAGTGCTTCTTCATACATCAGGAATTGTGATTTTGACTCTTCTTGTGAATGCAACAACCATCCAGTCCTTACTCAAGACACTTGGTAAGCTACGCAGTTGAAAAAAACATTTTCTCCTTCGTTCACCCCCACCATATAACAGAAATAAATAAATTACAGTTTGTACATGTAGCCTTGTTTATTTTCCCATAGGTATGAGTGACATCTCCATTGCCCAACGATTAGCTATGGCCAACGCCGTAAAGAAAGTGAAGGAAACTCAAACACGAACATTGTCTATGCTAAAAGCCGACCGATTTCTTGCTGATGCTGAGTGGTCACTTGCAGAAAGAGTATGCGACATCAGAGATCCATACAGGACGGAAGAAACAGTATGTTGGCAAACAAATTGTATTTCTAAACTCTCCCGTATTCTTTGAAAAAATTTTAAAAAAACTGCTGCATGCTATATGGCCATGATGTGAAGTCACTATGACCATAATTATTTAAGCATGTCACATGTTTTTGTTAAATAAGCTGTCTGAACAGGTCTTAACCGCTGGTCTACATATTGTGTAAAACAATTACAAATACCTAAGTCTGCGTTAGAAAAATAACATTTTTACGCTTTTATGTCGAAGAGGTCAAATGGAGCTCCCCAGCATAAAAAAAAAAAAACTGCACAAAACGACTGGTTATCAGTTAAGGTGGATTCGGTGTGAATCTACCTTTATTCTTAATACAAAGTGGTTAGTTTACAGTGCTAAATTTAGTTCAATTTCCACAGGGTGAGGGCGAAACAACAGATGATCCGATTTCCGTGAATCGCAAGAGCACGTGTCCATGCTGTAAAACACTAGTGCCCAACGAACCATCTCAAAAGGAATACGATGACATGTCTGAGGAGGCTCGTCTTAGGATGCTTAAAGCAGAGAAGGTATGGAAATGCTATGACGTTCTCAGATATGTACAAAGACTCGTAATTTTTTTTTTATTTTTTTTTTTGTGTGTTTTATCATGTCCTCTCTTATTCTTCGTATATCAGTTGCACAATGATATTAAATTTACAAAATAAATTTATGGCAGTTTATTAACTGATGAGTATTTGTTCCTTCATCAAAAAGAAGTAATAGTGACTGAGATCGCAACAATCTGGATATTGTATCATGTATGAACTGATTGAGTATATAAAATATATTTTATTCAGACCAAACTGCGGTTTCGATGCACTTTTTTGGGTAATTGTACTCTTTTATTTTTTGTCACCATTTATTGAAATTGTTGCTCATTGCTCAAGATACCCACTGATTTGCATGAAAACAAGTGAAGACACATGGAATTTAGTAGTCATATTGTTTAATCGATAATCATATAAACAGGAGTTTGCAGCCGAAGAATAAAATATTAGTAACAAGTTCCAATTTTATTAAATAATAATTAAAATGCATTAGATCAGTTATTGGAAGCAATTCGAACATGGAATGCTATCGAAAGAGGCAACGCGAGTATTGGTTGGTTGTACAGAGTCAGCTGCCGACGAACACGGAGAACTGATAAAAGTTGATGAAATTAAAAAGAACTGGAAGATAACGGGTATATATCCATACTTGGTAAGTGAATAACCAAATAAATAAATAAGTAAATATAAACAATGTATATATATAAATATATATATATATATATATATATATATATATATATATATAAAATAAAAGCCGAAATGACAGTTTTTTAATAACTAATTCACTCGAGAGAGAAAAAAAGCACAGTCACATATTAATACTGTACTGGCTATACTACCAAACTACAAAAAATGTTATTTAAAAAGTGTCACAAACAAGCGATAAAACATAGGTGCAGAATCGTAACTACCGCGTATTACTTGTGCAATACGCCAAAGCTGAAATTTTTATTGGCCGCGGCAGGTCTGTGAATAATTCATTAACCCAGTTTTTTGGCTGGCTCTTTTTGTCTTCTTAACAAAATGACGCTCTGTGATTGGCCATTGTCAAAGTTTGACAGCTCGTTCAAATGAAAATTTGAAAACGTTTTTAAACAATTATAAAAAATTATGTGATTATTATGCCATACCATATAATGGGCATCATCACTTTATCACACACAAATTGTGAGTGTATAGACATAAATTTAGGAAGGTTTGGTGTAAACCAGGTGTATGAAAGTTATGATAATGGCCATCCCCTTGGATGTAGTTGCAAAAGTCCCACGAAAACGAGTTGCAAACGTCCCACGAGACGTTTGTGGTACAACACGTCTGTTTGTTAGACACCCGCTTATTCCTGGGCCTGTTTTTGGATTGGTCTGTTGTTAAGTTTGATTGACACTCCGCTAAGCTCCATTATCAAAACGACACAACTCCCACATCATCTTTGCATATTTTTTATATTAATGTTTAGAAGCGAAAACTTGAGGAGTGGATCAGCGTAAAAAAGAAGGAAAGCATACCGCCACCCGATAACAAGATCCAAAAAATTTTCTTCACCATCTCTATGCACCAGGCATTCGAAATGATCATATACGTTGTCATTTTTGCAAACATGATACCGATTATTTTAGAATTTGTTATTTCCCAGAAACATTTAAGGTAGGAGAAATATTATAGATTAATAAAGGAATTCCAATTCGATGTCTGCACTACGCATGCCAGTATCAAGGTCAATTAGCATAAACAAACATACACAGAAAATAGGTTTATGTCGATTGACTTCGGATACGTGCAGGCGCAGTCCAAAATACAAATTGGCTTATTTAATAAAAATAAATAAAAAATATATAACAATTAACAATCTAAAGTGAGATCAGACAAAACAAACATCAGACAAAGAAAACAGTTCGAAGAGATCCACGTTACTAAAAGCTGACGAAAACCAAGATAACATGAAACATTGCAATTGTAAAGCCTCTCACCAGCTTTTGACAGTACTGACAAAACGGTCAAAGATCAATTAGATTTAGTTGCTAAATAACATGAACCTTAAGACAATTAAAACCATACTCTCGACCTCTGATCTTGTTTTTAGATACGACGATTTTAAACCATATATGCGAATTTCAAACTTTAATTTCATGGCAATTTACATCGTGGAGGCGCTTATTAAGGTTAGAAATTTAAAAAAAAAGTAGTACCTTGGTTATAATTGGGCTGAAATATATTGCATTACACAATAAAACCGTGATTGTTAAGGGAATATTCTTGCTTTCTAATATCATTTATATTAAAGGACTAGATAACATTTTTTTTATGTATTATAAGGACAAATATTAATAGTAACTGTATTGTATTGTAATAATCGTTTGCATTGTATTATGATGTATTATAGATGCGGAATTAATGGATCTTTTGGAATTCTGGGTTATCTTGGTTTTGAATCTGATTCATATATAAGAATAAATATCATTGTAATTGTTTTGTAACTGTTTTTGCATCATTTTATATGGAATTGATGGATGCAAACCAATGTAGAAAAAGTCTATCTTTTGACAATTTTGGTTATCTTTTTTTTCAATCTGTTTTTCATTGGTTTTGAATACTGAACATTGGTGTTGCAATATAGTGTAATTACCTTATCATGTTTGAAAACTAAATAAATAAATAAATTGATGATATAATAAATAATCCACAATGCTGTGGAGAAAGGTGGCTAGATCTCGGTAGACATACAACAGCTAAACTGTAAACGAAACAACCACAAATAGGACCAGCTTTTGGGCGACACAATTTTTCCTTTGTAGCGTGTGAAGAAAGAGTAGACAATTTTAAGCTTTGATTCCAACATAATAATTTAACACACCAAGATGAATTATTGCAAACGTTTCATTGTTTTCCTTTAAAGGCAATTGGACTGCGGAAGTACTATTTATTGAGTCATTGGAATAAATTAGACTTGCTTATTATTCTCGTGTCAATAATTGACATAACTGTTGATGAGACGTTCACTGGCACTGATATCAATTTGAATACCAATGTTCTGAAGATTCCAAAACTGTTCCGGACATTTAGGAGTCTACGTATGCTGCGTTTAGTTAAGGTAAGACTCATTTTATTACTATAAGAAGGCCATCTAAGAGTTTCGTACGATTTGTTTACAATAAGATTCACTTAAGTAATTCATTAAAACACATACAGTAAAAGTCTCGTATGCTGCGTTTAGTTAAGGTAAGATTCATTTTATTAATTTAAGAAGGCCATCTAAGAGTTTCGTACGATTTGTTTACAGTAAAATTCACTTAAGTAATTCATTAAAACACATACAGTAAAAGTGTACGTATGCTGCGTTTAGTTAAGGTAAGATTCATTTTATTACTCTAAGAAGACCATCTAGGAGTCTACGTACGATTTGTTTACAGTAAGATTCATTTAAGTAATTCATTGAAACACATATATAGTAAAAGTCTACGTATGGTGCGTTTAGTTAAGCTAAGATCTATTTTAATACTACTCTTTCTAAACGCGCTTTGGATTCCGTGAGGCCCATGCTGTATTTAGTTAGCAAGATTCAGTTTAGTAGTTCTTTCACTAAACTCACTTAGAAGTCTTTGTGTGCTGTTTTAGTTAAGGAAATACTGTATCTATTTTTTAACTTTATTCATTGGAAATCCCATCGTGTAGTTAAATTCATTTTATTACTTCATTTAGGATTTAATGTATATACTGCGTTTTATGGTAATGGTTGGAGACGCCTATATAGCACACAATGCGTGATCTCTACACAGAGAAAACATAAATAGCAAAAACTTGGCTCTACTAGTTGGTCAACTAAGCTAACCATGCAAAAATAAATATATTTAGGTTAATATCTATTTTAGTACTTCATTTATTAAGCGCACATTTATAAATCTGTATCCTGAGTTTAGTTAAGATTAATTTTAGTACAGTAGTTCTTTCACTAAACGAACATTTAGGAGTCTATGTAGCGTTAAGAATGTCAGATTAGGATTCATTTTAGTATGTATGATGCGTTTGGTAAAGGTTAGATCAACTAGGCCTACTTCTTTTAATTTCCTTAAGCTATTAACATTTTCTGTACTTCTGTGTTTATAGGTTTTAATCCATTTTCATTATTTTCAAGAGTAAACAACATATGTTTTACTCTGCATTTAATTGTATTTGTAAACCTTTTAGATTACCATTGTCATTATAGTAATTGGTATCTTTATCATTCACTTGTATCGTCATTATTATCATTCACTACAGCCGTAGCTATGTGCCAAAGGCCCCCAGTGCAAAATGAATTTGCTGGGTTCGGTGAAGTGATAGGGGAACTCCCTAAATTTCTCAAAATATTCATCGTAAGAAGTGCTTCTTTTACCACCACTCAGACTAATGATAATCGGATTTGTAACTATTTTAAGAGGGGCATATTTGGTCTCAGAAACTGTTCTCTAATAAAATATTCAAGAAAATTGGTGCCATGTAAAGATAAGCAATTGCAGTGGAGAATCAGGAAATTCGAAATTGAATGTAATTTCCCATTTATATTTTTTTATTTTGGAAAACAAAAAATTAGGGGGGGGGGGGGGTCGGACCGGTCATCGGACCGGTTGAATACACTACTGAATTAAAATCAACACAGTAATAAATAATATTACTCCACTGAAAACCTAATATTATTGAGGGGCCTGCTGGCCATTTTTTCTTCAAAAATATTAAGTTGGAAATTATTTAAAATTATTATTTTAGGTCTGTTTATGAATTGGCCCCTAATAGTCTGGGCCCCAGTGCATTGCACTTGCTACACTGCCCCTAGCCCACTGATTCACTACAGCTATTACCATCACCATCATCCTAACCATTGTATTTTATTCAGGCACTTATTCCAAGAATCATAAGTTTCTTGAATACTCGAATTAACAAGAAATTGAGTCTAGGCTACGATGTTGGAAAAGGGTTTGTCATTGGTGAGGAAGAAGTTAACAAGTTTGTAGATCACATGGTAGATAACCAGAGCATCTTAAATGACCTCAAACGCAGATCGGAGACATCCCGACTCGAAGTCATTCGTGAACTCGGTAATCGAATATTCAAATAATATCAAAAGAACAATATTTTTAAAAAACTTAGAATAATGAAAATCTAATGATTTGTTTAGTCTGATAGGTTAGGCCGGGCACTCGCTCACCCACACGAATTCATCTCCGCTCCCTGTCGGCGCTAGACAGCGCGACGCGTCTGCTAATTGTCAGTGGATGCAGCAGTCCATTAAAATCAATCCGTTACGCGCGCGTAATAGCGTTTCGTTCTCTGTAAATTCGCGTCGACCGAAGACCGTGGGGAGCAATGAGTGCCCGGCTTTAATAATTAAGTGACCATCAGTAAATAATTACACACTGTCAAATTTTCTGTGACAGAATGTCCGTGATATGGCAAAGCTCCTCCCCTTAAATATTGTTGCTAAGGTTTTCCAACGACAACGTAAAATTACACAGACCGTGCGTTTGTACACTCTCCCACTTCAATTTGAATATATTTTTCTTTTTTTTCCCTTAAAAATGAAGTTTGGGGGGGGGGGGGGCTTTTTTAAAAAAAAAAAAAAAAAGCAGATTACCACAAATTAGCGAATGTCCCAAACGGTGCCCGTAGTCAAAATATAAAAGCTTCCGAAATACTGAATGAATGATCTTTTAAATGAACTTTTGATAAAATAAAAAAAAAAAAAAAAAAAAAAAAAAAATGCAAAA